GTTAACGATGATCTGGTTTGAGTCAGGGGGGGAAAAACTTTGACATCAAAAAGTGCAACAGTGGCTCAGTGAGAAGGTTATTTTATAATCACTAAGCAGGAAGTTTGATTTTAGCTTCACATGTGGGTGTCCCCCTTGGCAAGACACTGAACTCTGAGCTGCCTACTTTTATTAGTGTATGATTGTGTGAATGTTTAAGAGAGCAGTTGAGTGAATTGGTGCTTTGACTCATCAGTAGTGCTATTATTATTAGTAAGGCAAGGCAAGTTTATTTGTATAGCATGATTTCATGCATTGACGATTGAAAGTGCTTTACATGAATTAGATCAGGCATCTCCAAACTCGGTCCTCAAGGCCCCCTGTCCTGCAGGTTTTAGAGGTTTCTCTGCTTCAGCACAGCTGGTTATAATGGCTCTGTTCGAAAACCTAGGACGTGTCCTCCAAGGATGCGGTCTACCTAGGTCTATCCTTCGAAGTCCTTGAAAATAAGGAGACCGGAAGAGTTTAGGCTGTGAATTCGACCAGGTCTACCGTTCGGCGGGTTTTACCGCCGTATGCTCTGTTGCTTAGCAACCGTAAACGTTGACACACAAAGCAGGAAAAGAATGAATACAGAAGAGGATACATCGGACCCGTCCTTCAAATCGGGCAAAAAGAAGGACGCATTTTAAGGCCGCATAACGAGGACTCTTGGAATCCGACCACACCTCGGCGCCGCGCTATGACGTAATCGGCCTTCGAATCCGGTCTTCTAAGGATGCGTCCTAGGTTTTCGAACAGAGCAAATGATTGCAGTAGACCAAAAGCCTGTTAATCAGCTTTCAATTAAAATCAGCTGTGCTGGAGCAAGGAAACCTCTAAAACCTGCAGGACAGGGGGCCTTGAGGACCGAGTTTGGGATGCCTGAATTAGATAATAAAACACAAGAAAAATAAAAGCAGAATAAAAGGAAATAAAGATAAAAAATGTGTGTGAATTTGCAAGAACTTGGTAATATAATATGTACCACCATACATGTGTCAAGATCTGATTTATTTCGATTAACAAAGAAGATATACTGCAATATTTTTTATAACAATAAATCCCTGGAAAACCTAACAAGCTTTTGCTGTTGCTTTGCGGCTCCTGGGGCAGAGCGGAGCAGTTATATACTAGGCTCTTTGGTCGAGCACTGCCACCTAGTGGCTGGAGGAGTTACACAAAAGTAAAGCTGCATTCACACCAAACTCGTTTTGGGCGTCAAAAACACTTAAACGCTGACATTTTGACACTGATCAAGTTGCTCTGAAGCCTCAACGCTCTGGATGCTTGGCACACTGGTTGTTTATCTGCTCTGTTCTGTAGCGACAAGCTACAGAGCAGCTTGGAAAATGATGAATTGGAAAAATAGCTTTGACACATTTTCAAGTGAGAAAGTCCACATTAAAACATAATCTGTGCAGTCAGTTAATCTGGATTATAATCCCATTCAAGTATCCAGTTCTTGTTCGGAGCGCTAGATCTCCAGCATACTGCTGGCCAGCAGTGCTGGAAATCCCTGCTGAGAGCTCTGCTGTGGCCAGCTCGTGAGGGATTTCCCGCTACTGTTCATGCTGGAAGTGAATATAGAGCTTTTAAGGTTTGTGTTAGAAACTGCAAGTACCAGAATATACAATTGAATATCTTTCATTGGTAGGTTCCAAAATTGTTTGTTAATTTAGATATTCAAAAGTTGTTTCACCATAGTTTATAAAACATGTTTAGTGCAATAATAATGATCAGAGCTTGCTCTCTTTTCTTTGTATCTTACATAACTTCCGGCTTTTTTTTAAACCTTTGGAGCCTAACCCCTTGATATTTATTTATTTTTCATATGCAGAAAGCGCAATAACAGCTCACATGTGGTGTCTATCTTCCTCAGAAAACTCTTGGATCAGCTTTTCTAATTGGCTGACTCTATGGCGTCCACCTGCAAAAGTTAAATTTTCTGAATGCTCGGACACTCTGACGCCATAATGCTCAGATGCAAGAACACCCTGATGCACCGCTCCCAACGCTCGGACCTCTCCCTTAAACTTAAGATGTAAATCAGACACTTTAATGCCCAAAACATGTTTGGTATGAAAAAGGAAATTGATATTTGCCTATTTATATTTTTTTTTACATTTAAGATCCATTCGGCTGTATTTTGAGGTAACAAATACACTCACCGGCCACTTAACACTTAATTTCTGAGCAGCCAATCACATGGCGGCAACTCAGTGCATTTAGGCATGTAGACATGGTCAAGACAATCTCCTGCAGTTCAAACCGAGCATCAGTATGGGGAAGAAAGGTGAGTTGAGTGACTTTGAACGTGGCATGATTGTTGGTGCCAGAAGGGCTGGTCTGAGTATTTCAGAAACTGCTGATCTACTGGGATTTTCACGCACAACCATCTCTAGGGTTTACAGAGAATGGTCCAAAAAAGAAAAAACATCCAGTGAGCGGCAGTTCTGTGGGCGGAAAGGCCTTGTTGATGCCAGAGGTCAGAGGAGAATGGCCAGACTGGTTCGAGCTGATAGAAGGGCAACAGTGACTCAAATAACCACCCGTTACAACCAAGGTGGGCAGAAGAGCATCTCTGAACGCACAGTACGTCGAACTTTGAGGCAGATTGGCTACAACAGCAGAAGACCACACCGGGTGCCACTCCTTTCAGCTAAGAACAGGAAACTGAGGCTACAATTTGCACAAGCTCATCGAAATTGGACAATAGAAGATTGGAAAAAAGTTGCCTAGTCTGATGAGTCTCGATTTCTGCTGCGACATTTGGATGGTAGGGTCAGAATTTGGCGTCTACAACATGAAAGCATGGATCCATCCTGCCTTGTATCAACGGTTCAGGCTGGTGGTGGTGGTGTCATGGTGTGGGGAATATTTTCTTGGCACTCTTTGGGCCCCTTGGTACCAATTGAGCATCGTTGCAACGCCACAGCCTACCTGAGTATTGTTGCTGACCATGTCCATCCCTTTATGACCACAATGTACCCAACTTCTGATGGCTACTTTCAGCAGGATAATGCGCCATGTCATAAAGCTGGAATCATCTCAGACTGGTTTCTTGAACATGACAATGAGTTCACTGTACTCAAATGGCCTCCACAGTAACCAATCCAATAGAGCATCTTTGGGATGTGGTGGAACGGGAGATTTGCATCATGGATGTGCAGCCGACAAATCTGCGGCAACTGTGTGATGCCATCATGTCAATATGGACCAAGCTCCCTGAGGAATGCTTCCAGCACCTTGTTGAATCTATGCCACGAAGAATTGAGGCAGTTCTGAAGGCAAAAGGGGGTCCAACCCGTTACTAGCATGGGGTACCTAATAAAGTGGCCGGTGAGTGTATATTATCCAAAGAAATATTCCAATATTTGACAGATTCTATTTTTTTTTTCCATACACTCCTATTAATTAGGTCCTTCTGCTTTATTTAACATCAAAACTGGTTTTGTATCTAAAGGGACACTTTTTTGGCCTAAGAATCACATTAATCTGAGTTACCGGTTTATTTGGTGGCTGTTCTAAATTTTATTTTATTTTTTTACTTTGGGGTCATGGAACAAAATAATGGATCAAAAAACATTTATTGTTTGAAATATAAAGTGAACCAGAGAGCTTTTGTAGCCATGGAAACCAAAGACAATGCAGATAAAAACTTACCTCTATATGACTGAAGCTGAAAGTGCAACAGCCTAATTTTGAAATCCTTGTAAATAACAACCTATAAAAATAAAAATTAAATTTATCCAAGTAACCTGCAGTATCAGTTGCACTTTCTATTCTGGTGCATATCAACATTTATTTACCATACATTTTTCAGGTCAGTATTCAGCATATTGATGCACCATGTAACTTGGAAGAGTCTCCATCCCTGAAACAGTCATAGGACGGCAGTCTGAGCTCCCTTTGAACTTCAGATCTAACCAAGCTAAACGTTGCTGTCCAACAACAAAACAGAATACACTTACCTGATCAGACAAATATTTGGTTCTCTGAACAGCTATTACTATAAAGATGCTTTGCTAATGTTACTAGCCACAACTTGGAAGAATAGAGACTGTTTCAAGATGCAGGATTTCATGATAAGTTGCCAATAGCAGGCAGTTTGTTTGCTCAGGTTGGTTTCACCCTTAAAGTGCCAAAAGTTGGCTGGAGTGCACAGAACAGGTTTACACACAAGGAGGAGAGAATCTCCAGGAGCCTAGAAGATGAGCATGAACTCATAGTTGTGACAAACTGGTGGCCTTACAGTACTTACTTACCTGCAAGCATAAAATGTTCAAAATGCAAAATGCAGTTTACATAAGTGTGGAAAAAAGGACCAATGAGTATTTATCACATGCTCACTGTCTGCAAAACTCTGATCTAATAGAAATATGCCAGAAAGTTAATAGTCTCAAAAGGTTCAAACTTACTGAGGATCATTCATTTAAATAAGGTGTATGTGTCTAAATCTGAGCCTATGTCTTTAAATCTGTTGATAAAATGTGTAAAGAGTCACAGTAAAGCCACACTTGATCTTCATATTCTTTTGATTATTTTTTTTTCTTTTTCTAATGCATTAACATTCGACCCTAAAAGGATTACCCTGCTGATCAGTCTTTAAATGCCCAACGGTACGACATTGATGGGTTAGAATGGTTTTAAAACAAACAGCTTGATCAAGTCTGATTGAAAACCTCCTCAAGCTGTTAATTAGGTCAGACAGCCACACATGTCACACCATGGAAGGGAAATATAATACCGTTTTAAGGTCCAAATGGTTTTTGACTTTTTTGTAACAAATAGCAGAGAGTAAATTATTACAAAATCCCCCAAAAGAGGTAAAACTTAAAAACAGGTTGTAGATCTTGCACCAAAACACTGACAGTATCTCAAATGTGACATAACTGGGTGTAGAGCAGCAAGATGCGGAAAAGACGCAGACTGAGAAAGAGAAGTAGCACAGGAAGTGACTGAGGTCTCGGTTAAGAGACGTTGATACTCGCTCAGATGCTACCACTGTTCAGCCAGCTGGTGCAGTGCAGCAGACATTTTCTGCTCCATCTTCTTCTCTGAGTTCTTTGACATTACATGGACAATCTGGAGGGGGGCCTTGGATCCAGTCTGCTGAGGAAGCTTTCCTCCAGGTAGGTCACACACTTCTTTTTTTGTTTTTTTACAGTTTTGGATCTCAACGATTTATGCAGTAGAAGTTACATCCTACTTAAGTTCGCTTTTAAAAGGTCAACTTTTTGGTCATCTTTTAAATATGGCCTCCCTCCAGCCTTTAGCTCTAACTTATACCATATGTTTAGTTTCCTGCTGGAAGCCATTTGAGTTTTACTAAATATGGTGGTCATGTGTATACAAGTTCCTACTCTACTAAAGACACTTAAAAATACTTTTCCCACTGCTGAACAACAGACATAACAGTTAAAGAAAAAGCCATTTAAAAGAATTTAAATTGTTTGCAGAATCCTTTCTTCCACATACTTACTCTGGTACACACTGTTCAAGCAACAGTACACGCAGAACCACTTTAGTAATTATTATTGTGTGGGAGGCAAGATGTTTCACCAGAACACTCTGCTTGTGTGTTTTCACAACTATCAGATTTTATATGTGTGCTGCTAACTATTGAAATCTTATTGTAAAAGTAGAGAAGAGATACACAACAACAGAAGAGCAACAGAAATTACAGAAGTGACAAAGGTTACGTAAAATCATGGTGCATGAAATGGATACGAGTGCAAGTAGTGCAACTTGTACACACGCTGACCCTTTTGTGAGGCATCTCAAAAGATGACATCTGAAGCAGTTTTATCAGTTTGGTCTTTTTAGCAAACAGCTTGAAAACGTTTAGATTACAGTCCTCTGGTTTCTGTTTCTTCTCCTTGTAGGAAGAATCACCAGCGCAACAACAGCCCTCAGCCTCCAGGTGACAATGAACAGGGGTAAGGAAGGACATTTCAACAAAGATTACACTTAAGCTGTCGCCATGAATACAATTCTCAGCCTCACACCTTGAGGGAATGGCTTTTGACAAATTGCACATATGTGGAACATTAGTGGCAAACAACTGCTGCAAAAAGACAGGAAGTGAACCAGTGGTCGTGTGCAGGCAGTGCTTTTTATCTGTTAGATGGCATGAAAGACTCTCAGCACTGATTCTCTATTCTGTTTGCTGCCTCATGTTAGCAGCAACAATTTACTTCCGCAACATTTGGTTTCTCCACGTCTTGGCAGAAGATCTGTTTCTTTTTAGGGTGTCAACCTCACTAAGCAGGAATCCCCTTTGCTGATACCACAACTTAAAGTAGCCCACGGTTTGCCTTCCTTTTAAGTCCCAGTGGAAAATTTGTCAAACACTATAAATTGTGCTTTTCTTTTATGAACAGGGACTTCAGCCCGGTGTGGGGGTAAAGGCTAAAGTGGTGCTCGCTCTAATATTTTTGTTTTTGCAATCCAAAAATATTTTCTACTAAAACTGTTGAAACAAAAAAGGTTTTAGTTTTAGAATCTTTGAGAGGATTGGTTATTTCTAGATTTTACATTCTTTGATAAGATTTTTTAAAGATAAACTGAAGTGTTTTTAAAACATTTGTGATGCAGGAGGTGCAGAGATGTTGAACCCAAACATTTTTATTTCTTATTTTTGCAGTTCCATTGGGGCGATTAGATTTGGACTTGTTGGCAGTTAATTTTTTTTTATTGCCTTAGTAAATGTATTTCAGCAATAAACTTTTTTTGCATCAGATGTATTTTGTTCTTGTCCTTTCACTATTACTCTGTTGAAATCTTAGCTTTAAGAAAAGAGAAGTCTTGTTCTTGACTTAAGTCCCCTGGTTCCTCTTTTTTCTGTCACACCGTGTTCAGACAGCAAATCACATGGAGGAGTTTTATAAGCTGCAGTGAGGAAAAGTTTTATCAGTGAATCAAAAGTTTAAGAGTAAAGGAGCCAAAGTTAGATTGTGGCTTTTTTCTGATAGACCAAGTGAGAGTTAAGGAAGTGTTTCTGGGGAAAGAGCTGCACAATAAAGGTTAATTAACTACTTCAAACTTTCAAACATTCCTGCAGATTTTTTGGATTTGATTGTTTTTGTTTTTTAACCTCTAAAATTCCCTAAAGTTTCATGATTTGGTGAATCCATATGGTTGATCTCCTGGTCTTCTCCCCTTCAGGGCGAGTGGTGATGACAGTGGGGCAGGCAGGCTCAGCCGCAGATTCTCCCGAATGAGCAGCAGACATCAGTCCAGGGATCCTCCAAGAGCTCCAGCTCATCAGGAAAGGCCTCCTGCTCCACCTGTTCAGGAAGGTGTGTACAGTAACTCCCTACAACATTAAAAGAGGTTCATGATCAATAAACAGGATGTTGTAGCTAGAGTAGGAATATTTGGGTTTTTCTGTAGCCCTCCTCACCACTAGATCTTCATCTGTGTTTGGGGTTGCAGATGAAAGGCTTCCTCCACCAGCCCTTGCAGTGTCTCCCCCTCCAGCACCTTCTCCTTTCCCCATTCCCATGGATCGGCCACCTAAACGCCCCGACAAATCCACGAAGCCCAAGCTCCCACCTCGGCCTCTTTCCAAGGTGTTCAGTAGTGATGAACACGGATCGGCTGTGTTGCAGGTCATTATTCCTCAAAACTGACTCTGAAGTGGGTCCTTGTGTTTGGTTCTAATATAATGTGTAAAAGTTTAAGCTTTATGACTCAATAAAGTTTTTTGTTATCTGAATAACAACAACAACAAAAAATGCTGATTAGAAAAATTCTGATGTCAACACTGCAAAAACGATCCAGAAATAAGTAAAAAATATCTTAAATTAAGTGTATTTACCCTTAATTTGAGTAGGTAAATAAGATGATCTGCCAATGGAATGAGTATTTTTACTCTTAAAATAAGATAATTTGATAATATGCACTTGAAACAAGACAATACAATTGTTTTTATCTTATTTTACATATAAATTGTCTCGTTCCATTGGCAAAGTGTCTCAATTAGCACCTCAGTTCAAGAAAAAATGCACTTATTTTAGGAAAAAATTCCTTTTTTTTATTTACATTTTTTGCAGTGAATATTGTCAGCTATTTATGGGGAAAATGTCTTCATGAATGTATTCATAAATTCAATATGGCTTCCTTCCAAAGGGTTTGGATACTTTTCGAGGAGATGAGACTCTGTGTGATGTTGTCCTGGTTCCAGGAGACAGCACAGAAACTTTCCCAGTTCACAGAGTCATCATGGCTTCATGCAGTGATTACTTCAAGGCAATGTTCACAGGTTTGTTCAGCTGTCTTTTCTATTATTTGGCAGAAAATGTAAGAAAATTAAGCTGTTTTGTAGAAAGGTCTTAGATATTTTCCTTTTTATAGTTTGTTGTTTCCTATTTAATAAGCAGCTTATATATAGTCACCAAAAAGACTAAAATCCAGTTGATTATAATAAAATTAGACTGCATACCGAGCGTCTTTCCTTATAGTCCCCTTATCTTTTTTGAGCCTATACCTTGGTGTATGCTTGATGCATCCATCATTTTTAGCTTCCAGGCCCCTCTGCAAGGCCACATGGCAAGCAAGCGACAGCTCTCACTAAGGACAGTTTGCAAACACAAAAGAGACATCCAACGATTTAGCTCATGAATAACACTGCTATCAACAGATTGTGGAAAGAAATGACTGTTTCTCTTGAAGAGGCTTTTAAAAAATTATTAATGGCTGTGTTTTCTACTTCCCCATGTGGTGTGGTGTGATCAACTTGACATTTTTACTGTATCACACACCCTGGAGCAGGCTAGAATGAGGGGAAAAAATCACACAGACAATAAATAATACAGATGTTGTGATCGGTGGCTCATTTTCCTTGCAGATTGTACGTGTGTCAAACATAACTCAACCTCAGATAGAACCTCAGCAGTACCACAACTACAGAACCAGAAGTAGCAGAAAGCCAAATGGTGGCCATTGACACAACAACTAACAGTGTTGGGCACATTACTTTGAAAAAGTAATTAGTTATAGTTACTAGTTACTTCTCTCAAACTTAGTTACTAACTGAGTTACTCTACAATAAAAGTAACTAGTTACTAGTAAAAGTAACTATTGCATTACTTTTGCGTTTCTAGCCCCCGTAACCCTCTATCTATCCATCCATCCATCCATCCATCCATCCATCCATCCATCCATCCATCCATCCATCCATCCATCCATCCATCCATCCATCCATCCATCCATCCATTTATCCATCCATCCCGATTTCTCCCTTTCTCCACATAGGCTAACAAGCACAGGGCGGCTGTTACGTGCCTTTAGCGAGCATGTGCGAATCGTGCCACCTGCGCTGTGCGAACGTGCATTGGAAACCGTATCTGATGGGGAAACGCAGCTCGACGTAACATCGGTATTTCCATCTGGAAAACGCTGTTTTGCTGCTGGTGTCCTCCTCACTCTCCATCTCTCTGTGTGTGCTGTACGTTAACACCCACCAGCGGAAACACCCACCTACCCAACTGACAGACAGAATCTCACTATACATCAGCCAATCTCATCCTCCTCTTTCATGACAAGTCGCGCACGAGTCCCATCATAAAAAAATTGTTCATTGTGTGACCTGAGTAACGTGCAGTAACGGGGTGTTGGCAATGGTAACTGCGTTATAGTTACAGTAAAAGTAATTAGTAATTAGTAACTACTTGTTACTAAAAAAAAAAAGTAACGACGTTACTCCCATCACTGGCTACTAAATAGGTACTGGTCATTTTTTTATGCCTCACAGAAAACCATCATTTCTGAGTGAGAACAGGGCTTCAATGTATTGGTAACACTTGTAGCACTATTTGGTAAGACATGTCATCACATGTCTATCAACTTCACAGCGACACTAGAATGCTTCCTGTGCTTCCCCCCCAAAGACTAGCCGTCATTTAGACGTTGGTGTTTAGACTAAATCCGGTCGGTCCGTCATAGTCTGTATTTAGTCCAGAAAAAGATGTTAAAAATCAGGCTGTCTTTGGTTGGTCTTATTTTGTCCCAATAAGTCCAATAATTTATGCTAAAAAGACGTTGAAAATCTTTTTCCCACCTTTTCAAATCTGAAGATTACAGCTTTTCACCTTTCACTTTTCAACCAAATGTGGATGTTGTTTGGATATAAACCATGTCGTCCTTTCAATATTTTCAATGTCAATGTCTTAAACCAACTTTTGCCCGGTTGGTTAGATCCACCTTTGGTAAACTCCAACTCTCTGACTTTTTTTTTACAGCACAACTACAGTTTTATCGCTTTTGAAATCAAACATTTTCCTGCACCTTTTTACACTTGATGTTGAACTTTTCTTATTTCCCCTAACTATGCTCCATTGCTTCAGCTTGTTGACCAATTGTATACATGGGGATTGATGTATCACCAAACAGAAACAATATATTTACTGACAAATTGAGTAATAAACTAAATAAAGACACAAATTAACAATTGGAAAAGCAGCAGGATGCTGTAATTTGTCATAAAAACATTGTTTGCAATGAGCTACATGCTTAGATCAACTACTTCCTGAACTTTTGGCCAACTCCTTCGTTTCCTGTCTTTCATTACTGGACAGACTGATTAATGCATATGTATCTGAGCGTTGTTATCATTACGAAGCTCACACCGACCTGGTTTCATCAGTCTGTGCAGTAATGAAAGACAGGAAACAAAGTTCAGGAAGTGGTGCAGGGGAACCTGTAGCCCATACGAGTGAGTTAGTGGTGTATAAATAAATAAAAAATGTCTACCAACGTACCTTTAAGATGCTGTCCATGAACATTACCAACAGGAAGAAGAGACAGCCATTATAAAATATATGTTGTTAGCTTTTTTGAACTCCAACCAACAAACCAAGTTGTCATAAACTACTGTCAATTATTATTTTATCTTTAATTAACGTGAAAAGGGAAGCTGTCCTGACCTTCATCTCCTCTAGTTTTGGTTTCTGCCTCTAAACAGACCAATAATTTGCTATAATCCACTCCATTGTGCTTGTCCTCTGTTAGTAGGCCATCTAGGTGTCAACTCAATACAAATCCTACCAAGTGATGCAAATTCATGCATTCACCTTGTTTCTGTCCTCTTACACCTATTTTTTATGTGCTCTGTTAAGGAGGCATGAGGGAGCAGGAGATGAGAGAGATCAAGCTGTATGGGGTCACTAAAGCAGGCTTAAAGAACATCATAGAGTTCATTTACACATCCAAAGTCAGCCTTGACATGGGCAACCTCCAGGATACACTTGAAGCTGCAAATTTCTTGCAAGTCATGCCTGTTTTGAGCTTCTGCAACGAACTTCTGAGCAGTGAGGTAAGAAATTTCTTGTATTTTTTTATCTAACACATACAGTAATGAGTGGTGGTTTATAACGCAGGCCTCTTCCTCAAAAGCCTTCAAGGACTTCCAGTTCTCTAAGTTAGATCTATGTTAAAAGATGCATGATGGCAGCAGCACATTTAAGGATGGGTGTCAGGTGAAGGAGTTTGCCCCGCAATCGGAGGGTTGTCGGTTCAAGTGCCGGTTCTGACTTTCATTGTGTCCTTGATCAGGAACTTCACCTGCATTGCGAACTGAAAACCTTTTTTTTAAGAAAGTATTTGACTGCCAGTAAATTAAGGGTTGTTTTATTAACATGTCTTTTTGTGACTGTAAATGTATTTTTATTTGTATTGTAATTTTGTGAAGCACTCTGTAACCTCCGTGTGTGAAAGGTGCTATATAAATGAACATTACTTACCGTACTTACTTACTTTCTAGTGTAAAGCGCTTTGGTCAAATCTCCTGACTTCAAATATAACTATATAAGTACAGGCATTTACAGTTTATCATGTATGATATATCTGAGTTAATGCGATTGTGTTGTTTTTTTTTTTGGTATAGATTACCATTGATAACTGTGTGGAAGTGGAGAAGATTGCTACAGACCTGCTTCTTGAAGACGTTCTGGTGAACATAGGTGAGTTAAGACAACCATTGGAACGCCACCACTTATGTGTGAAATTCTCCTACCCTAAAGTGCACCTTTTCCATATTATCAACCCTAGGTAAGTTTGTGAGCCAGAACCTCACAGCGTTGGTTGATTCTGGTCGCTACCAGCAGCTCTCAGAGACCAGCATCGCCAATGCTCTGGCCAGCAACTCGCTGAGCGGTTTTTCCGAGCTGGAGCTCTACCACATTGCCAAAGGGTGGCTGGAGCACGACCCTCCCTCACGTCACTCCTCCGTTTACGCCTTGATGCGCCACATTCGTTTCCCACTTATGAGCCCCAATGAGCTGATTCAGATCTCCCAAGATGAGGAGGAGGAAAGTGACTCCATGATGCGCTCTGATACCGCCTGCGTGAACCTCCTGCTGGAGGCCAGTAACTACCAGATGATGCCTTACATGCAGCCAGCCCTGCAAACCGAGAGGACGCAGATTCGATCAGACGCCACTCACATCCTGGCGCTTGGAGGCGTAATGAGACAACAACTGGTGGTGAGCCGGGAGCTGAGGCTTTATGATGAGAACACCGGCTACTGGAGGCCTCTGAAGCCCATGGATGTGCCTCGTTACCAACACGGGGTAGCTCTTCTTGGAGGCTTCCTCTTTATTGTTGGAGGTGAGAGCTGCTTCTACTTGCACAACAAGCCTGAAATTTAAACCTAAAAACATTTCACCTCGATAAAATAAGGTTATATACATCCAGTGTCTGTCCTGATACCATTTAAATAGTCTTTTTTAAGCCTAAATAGAATTCCAGCTCCGGGTGCAAAATATCTTTTACTGACAATACCAGAGAACCAGATGGCAACTGTTAAATGGAGCCCAACTGTCCTGCAATTCCTCGCAGTAAAGCAAAAACTGTGCTTTGTGGAAGATCAGTAAAATCAATTCAATTCAGTTTATTTATATAGCGCCAAATTCACAACACGTCATCTCAAGGCACTTTACAGTTCAACCAGGTCATACAGTCAAATTGATAAATTGAGTTTTCTATCTAAGGAAAACCAGTTGATTGCATTGACTCATTGACTCAAATACAATCCCTCACACTAAGCATGCTTATAGCGAGAGTGGAGAGGAAAAACTCCCTTTTAACAGGAAGAAACCTCCAGCAGAACCAGGCTCAGTGTGAGCGGCCATCTGCCGAGGCCGACTGGGGTTCAAGGAGACAGAAGCAGAGAAACAAAAAGCAGCTGTAAAAGGCGGCCCCGTCCAGGAAACACACAGCCAGGCAGACGAGCTCTGAGCCACAAGTGTTTCTATTAATAAGGACATTTACTCCCATTGATCACCTTAGCGCTCACATCTGAACACCTATGCAGCTTTAGCTTCATGGAACAAGGTGCAGCCTGTATTTAGAGCCCTGTTCAAGTCCTATCCTTCATAGAATAAATCATTTTTGTGTTTTTTTTCACACTGAATCTTTGAATTATCTTCATTATTTCAACACTTTACTGGGAGGTGCTAACTGGCTTAGCTGCAGTAAACTACTTTTTCCGTGCACATGAGAAGTATCATACCTGTGTCACTTTTTGCTATTAGCTGCCCTAAAAGTCATTGGAAATCGCTAGATGATATTATAAGCTCATTTGCATATTTGGTAATATCTTGATCTTCCAAAAGGAGAGAGGATTATTGACATGGGCAAGAGAAGTGATTAAAACACAATAAACGAAAGATAAACTCTCTGAAATACTTTTTAGTATTTAGCAATATTTTAACTGAACCAAAATTACATAAATCAATTATGTTATTAAATTGAATTTAAAAACAATTAGCAGAGGCATCAGCCACACACCATTAGCAGAGGCACCAGCTGTTGTTAAAGCTGTGAATGAATATAATCCAAGGAGGGATCCAGTTCAGTGCAACTATTTCAAAGAAAATAAAATATGCTAAATATTATATTTACATCTTGCTTTTCATTCAGGGGGCATCAGTGGAAGCTTTGTGTATGTGTGACTAAAACAGGAGAGTTGCGCTTCTCTCTGAATGCACCACAGGCTGCAGCTGCTGCATCTGACTCCATTGTTATTGTAAATATAGAAAGGGCTTTATTTTTTTAACCTACTGATTAAAATGTAAAACAAAAAAAAATTAATCAAGCAGGATGCAGTGAGTTTCTTGGCATATGAATAAGAAAATGTAAAAAAAAAACGAGACTATGAACATTTTAATGTATTGTCGGTGCTATACATGAAGAATGCACTGAGGCTAAGCTGATCATTGTGGTAAAAAGATGTTGATTAATTTCATAGCTTTTAAACAAATGAGATAAAACTCTTTCAAGCTACATTTTGGAGGTTTACCCTGATTCTTTTTTAATTCTTAGGTCAGAGCACATACGACACAAAGGGCAAGACGGCCATAGACAGCGCCTATCGCTATGATCCACGCTTTGACAAATGGCTTCAGATTGCCTCACTCAATGAGAAAAGGACATTTTTCCACCTCAGCGCTCTGAAGGGGAAACTGTTTGCAGTGGGAGGAAGAAACGCCTCAGGGGAAATCGGTAAGCCCACATTCAAAAACTGTCAACATTTCTTGCAAGGAAGGTCCAGTTGTTCATTTTCACCATTTTCTCTCGCTCATTTGTTTTAAAACTCAGACACAGTGGAGTGCTACAACTTAAAGAAAAATGAGTGGACCTTTGTAACCAACATGGTGGAGCCTCACTATGGGCATGCTGGAACAGTTCATGGTGGTCTCATGTACATCTCAGGTGAGGGAACCTTTTACAAGACATTCAGCGGTATCAATGCAGTATTTCTGTACAAATTTCGAGTTTGCATTTTTTGTCCTCCAAACAGATAGACACATTTTAGAAATATTTACATAGATTAGTTAAAAGGCTGCCTGCAGGATGGGGCCAAGTGTATTTTTTGTTTGTTTTTTGGGAGGACATAGAACAATAATATGAAAATAAATTTAAAAAAATCTAGTTGGTATTGTTATTTTCTAGTTGAAGAAAACAAAATTGAAAACTATTAAAGGATATTGGTATCTGTCAAAATCGCAATCAGCATGTTGGGCTTTTTAAAGTTGAGTTTTTTGCTATAAAACCCCTAAAACCACTGATTTCTACTTATTCACTGGATTGCTGATTGCCTGTTGGTAGTACGGGGTTTAAGTGAAGCCACCGGCCGCCATATTGGTACTCCCTAGTTAGACCGGTCTCAATGTGAACAATATGCTCGCTACAGAATCGAAAAACGATGATGTTCTCATTTTCAGTGGAGCTTAAGATTTTTAAAATAAAGATAAATTCATCACTTGGACACACACTATCTGTTTCATAGCATAAGTAGATTACTTTAACTTATAATAAATAAAAATAGGTGCGTCACTTTGCATTGTCAGTATGAAGTCAATGAAGTCTATAAATCATGTAATATGACATACAAACTCGTCACAAGAAAATTAATGTGTTGATGTAACATAATAATACTGATGTGCCAAAAGTGCTAAATTAATGATGTACATGTATATATAGTATTCATTAGATTGTTATGGTAATTACATCTGATAATTTGAAAAAACTATAAACAGAGTTTATAGTCCAGTGCCTAAAACTTTGATCCTATCTCAATACAACTAAGGCTAAAAGTGCAACGCTTTTTTAAATCATTGTTTAGATAAAACAGGTGAAGATAAAAAGATGAAACAGAGGGGGGAAATAAGCACAGCATCTGTCCCAGCTCATATAATCATAAGAAATATGTTCAGTATATCTTCAGTACAGGGGCTGTAACAGGGCCCAGTTCTTCAGGGGCACTAGCCCCTGCTGGCCCACCCGTCTAGAGCCGTCCATGTCACATTGGAGCCATGTGTGGACAGAAATTCACACCAGATATTGGCAACAAGCCAAGTAATCTAAATAAACAGAAAATAAAAGATTAGCTAAAAATGTAATCTCTTAAACAATTTTTTTTTTTAACAACCTTATGTAAAAGCTATTCTTATAATGGTACTTTGATGGAACTAGTTTAGCTTTATCTGACCAGATAATACCATCGCATTATTTCACTGTTTTTCCAAAGCAACTTAAAGGTATATTGGAGGATGCTCTTTTTCCGGTTGGATCATAAAAATTAATGGTCCTCCTAATTGTCAATCTAGTGATAATTTATGTAAGGCCGCCCTACGAGCTCGTCCCCAGTTAGCTATCTTTTTCCGCACATGCAAACTTTCAGGCTTATATCTGTGGTGAGCTACAGTTTCTTTGGGTGATTCTTTCACATGATGGCGCACACTGATAGCACAGGTTCCCACTGATGCTTCTATTACAAAGTTTCTGCTCGACAGGTAAAGTTTGGCATGCTATTTGGAGAAAGTCAAAAAAGAGAAATGGGCTCGCGCATGATCTTGCACACATTTAAAATAGGTGTTCCCTCTCAGGAGCAGGCACAGAGTTTTGCATGTGCATTGTTTTTTGTGGAGAGGGCGGGTCTTTTAAAAAATTTGCAAAAATCCGCCAGTATACCTTTAAGCAAAACTTAAGCATGCTTTTCTTCAGCAGTAGAGTATTGTGCAGTCAGTGTGCATAGAGTTTAGGTCTTTCCCTGTTTTGGAATGAGTGTTTTCTACTTTTTTATCCTTTTATATCCTGTCAGAAATCTTACAAAGGGACAAGCTGGTTCATGTTGAATTGATGCATTTTCCCCCAGATGCAGACAATGGCTATAACTGCACTCAGTGGAACATTCAGACATGCAGAAATGAACAGTGACCATATGCATACTTAGCAGCAGCAATCCTTTTATTTCATATGAATCGCTTCATTTTTACCAACTGACCCACAGTATTTTGTAGGGAGAAACCTTTTGTAGGCTAGCTGATATTTATCTGGGCATACCACCAACTAAACATTGACAGATTTCCACTGTTTTCATAGCTTTTTAGGCTTGTTTCCAAATCATTTTCTTTATGTGTTTAATACTTGTTCCCTGTACATTTCTTTCCATGCGCTCACACTGCTTATTTCCAGGATAACCACCTTCCTCTTTCATAAAAACATCATCTAATTTTACAATATTCTTCTCAACCCTACTCTTTTTTTTTTTTTACATGGATCTAAAATCCCCTTAAAATGTGCTCGGTGTTAAAGCCTGTGTCATCTCTTATTATTATTTCCATCCATGGTTACTGGTTTTGTTATTTTAGACCAGCAGATTGGTAGCAAGCTATATTTAAAACTCACAGTTATGTCATAGTTTAGTCACTTCTCCCTGATTCTGCATACTGGGGTGACTTAACTTCTAAAATAGAGCTGCAACTCCCTTAGATTGGTCAAAACTCATGGAAATGTTTTATTTCATAACATAAAAGCAAAGAGTTAAGCATCTAAAGTCACATTTAGCAATAGTTTTATGTTGAAACGCATTTGCTAATTTATGACATGCTTACTCACATAATGTAAGCTTAAGTTTTGAAGTATTTAGCCTAGTTTTAAGTATAAATTTTCAAACAGGACACCAGACACCTGCCACTGACATTAGAGTGAAGCCGAGTGAAGTCATTTTACCTAAGCCACAAAATAACCTTTCTAAAAATGAGCCTTGCCAAAAATGACTCACCCTGTATGTGCAGAGAAAAGGTTTTATCTCTTTTTGCATCATTTCCAAAGGTCACTTTCTTTCTTTTTTTTCCAATGAGACAAAACCGGAGTTTTTTAATTGATTCCCATGCTTTACAAAAAAAAAAAAAACATTTAAACTTATTTAATTTTGATTAACTGCATTGATCTTGTCTAATACAAGCTGCATGTTGTAGTTTGATGGTTACAGCAAAGCATCAAAGATAAGCAAGAGAGTGCAAGTTTGACACAAAGCTAAAGATCAAATTACCCTGAGCAACTATCTAACCACACTTCCTCACAGGGTCCCTTTCACAGCTCCTAAACCACACATTTCTTCTTCTTTCTGTATTGATAGCCACTGTTCACACAGGCAGCAGCAGCCACAGAGCAAAGCAGGGTTGTTTTTACCTTTGTTTTGATATTATTGTGGGATTTTAACATAGTAATCTTACCAATGGGAAAATATTCCTAATCAGAGCTCTGTGACACTTTGGAATCCTCTGGAAGGAAATGCACGTTTGCAATTACTGCTGAATCTAAGATTAAGCAAGTAGTATGCAAACTTAAATCCTTTTATTATTAAATCCTTATCTTTTAGTATTTATTGTTAAGTTTGTAGAAAGCATTCTCTTAGTTGACCTATTTGAAACTTTTTCTGGTTTACCGGAAGACCTCGACAAGCCGCTCTCAACCTGATCTAGGTAACCTTGGACAGGAAAACCACTTCTCGCACTGAGAGCAGAGAGCAGCCCATGTGTTTCACATGCAGCACTGAGAACCAGGAAGTCTAAAGGCCTGTGGTTAAGGTGGGCCTCAGAGATGTGGAACAAAGTCTAAACCTACGGATTCTTAATTACCTTATATTAGTAAAGATGTCTGTATGTGTATAACAAAATAGACCATGTGAGCATGGAATGGTGGCTTTTTTAGTTCATCATTAAGTCTGCAGCATTTTTTTCTACTTTTACTTTAGCTGTCATGATGCGACCACACACTGTAAAGCATTTTAAAAGGATTTAATGTCAGCAACTGAACAGGATCTAGCAGGAAGTGTTTCCATTTTCAATAGTGTTGCACCAATACCAGTATCTGGCGGGGCCCCGATCCGGCACTAAAATGGTGGTAAATACAGACAAATAGGGCACCGATACCATTTTGAGAGTTTAAAAAGTTTATTCAACTATTGTCACACTTTCCAGGTAGGCAATAAAAAGTTCTGGATTAACTTTCTATTAGTGTTTTTCCTGCTTCAAAAAGGTAGGCAGCATGATGGCAATTATTTTACATCCAAGTAGGATGAAGTTCTTCATATATACACACACACATATATTTGAAACAGATGGTATCGGTGTCGGTCAATACTGCACAGCCAGGTATGGGGTATCGGTATCTAGGCAAAAAAATGGCATCGGTGCAACACTAGTTTTCACATGAACTCCGTCCAGCTTCCTTATTCCTGCTGACGAAAAGCATCCCCACTGTGTAAAGCTTCCACACCCACATGTCAGAGTGTGTTCATTTCATTTTACAGCAGTAGTTTTCAAACACAGGGTTTTTGTTCATGAAAAAAAAAAAATAGCTTACTCTCATGTAGCCTTCAGATTGTCCACAGGCCGCATAGTTACTGGCAAACCAAGCATTTTGTTTCTGTCAACAACCGTTTTCTTTCTTCCCCTTTTTCCATAAAGCCAAGATTTATGAGGTGAAAGACTAACAATTGTCCCTTCTCTCAGTGCAAAAATATTTTTTTTTAAATTTGCCAGTTTAATAATATTTATGCTAAAAATAAGAAGAAAATAGCTCAGTTATGTTATTTAAAGTGCATAATATCTGATTATCTTACTTTAAAGGAAAGAATCCACATTCCACTAGTAGTATTATAATATTATTTACTTGCTCAAATTAAGGGCAATTACATTTATTTTTAAGAAAATGTTTCATCTTCTTAGATCAGCTTATTCAGTGTTCCAACTTAAACTGCAGAACATTTGCAGGGTTTTGCACATAAGGAAAATAAACTTTATCATACTTCAGATTCACTTTCTTGTTAAAATATTGAATGAAATATTATATGAAACTATATCATAAAAAAGTGTAAAGGAGACGGTGATAACAGATGAAGTTATTGATAGAGACCAGTAAAC